TATAGTGTGATTGCACTTGTGTAAAAACAGCTGCACATGTTATTTCTGTGGGCTTTTATATGTTAAATTTTCTGGGTGAAAGAACCTAACATTAATCAACCTAGTCTCAAGTATGGCTTTTTGGCAATTTACTCATAAATAAAAAGTCTCTGGCTTTAAAAACATTCATGTTAAATACCACTAGGAGCGTGGGGGCCTATGCTATGTATTATATTAACAACAATGAAACACACTCAAACTTACTGCTTAAAGAAGTGATTATGGAAAGGACACAGAATAGTGAACAAATTCCTTTCCATCTTTGAGTATCTCAACCAGATCCTACCAAGGTGCTCATGTGAGCTGTGTGGTGTGAAGACAGGAAACAGTTTTAAAAAACAAGTGGTTCAGTCATTTAGACATTTCAAAAACATAAACGGCTACTTACGTACTCAATTTGCACCCTGTGAGATACTTAAATATAATGAACAAGACAGATGTGGTTACCACCTGCCGGGACACCTCTAAGATAGTTTAAGAGACTGACCAAATGATCACATAAAATATACATAAAATAGCAATTGTGCTAAAAAGATGATTCTTTGGAAACTGAGTTTAAGGCATGGAGGGTTTGTTGTTTTTTTTTTGACATGGAGTTTTAAGATAAATAACAACTCAACATGCTTTCTTTTTTCTTTAAGGTACAGTTGTGGTAGGCTAGCACATAACCTTAATCTTTCTTTCAAGTGGGGTGCATAAATTGGGAGACTGGGAATCAACACATATATGCTACTATATATATAAAATAGGTTACTAATAAGAACCTACTGCACAACACTGAATATTCATTGGAAGGACTGATGCTGAAGTTGAAGCTCCAATACTTTCAGGCACCTGGTGCGAAGAGCCAACTCATTGGAAATGACCCTGATACCGGGAAAGATTGAGGGTAGAAGAAGTGGGGGGCGGCAGAGGATGAGAGGGTTAGACAGCATCACTGATTCAATGGATAGGAGTTTGAGCCAATGTGGGAGATAGTGAAGGACAGATGAGCCTAGTGTGCTGCAATCCATGGGGTCACAGAGTCAGACGTGACTTAGCAACTTAACAATGAGAACTGCATTGCCAAATTCAGAGATGGTCAATGTTAAATATTTTAATTCAGGTCCACACAAGTACTTCTACCTATGAGCCTTAGAGTTTTTCTGGTTTATCTGATATTTGTGCTTAGTCGCTCAGTCGTGTCCGACTCTTTCTGACCCCCTGGACTGTAACCCACCAGGCTCCTCTGTCCATGGAATACTCCGGGCAAGAATATTGGAGTGGGTTGCCATGCCCTCCTCCAGGGGATCTTTCCAACCTAGGGACTGAACCCAGGTCTCCCGAACTGCAGGCAGATTCTTTACCATCTGAGCCACAAGAGAAGCCATCTGATATTTAATCCTATAAATCTGTTCAAATGACTTTGGATAAAATACATATTTATCCCACCTATGTTTGCACGCATACAGAAAACTTCAAGCAACTGTTAACTCGTCATCACTGTTCATCATCTACCTTTCTATAAGAGTTATTTAAATTATAAATACAGAATACTTGTAGAGCTAATGGCTCAGTGGTGTAAAGAATCTGCTTGCCAATGCAGGAGACTTGGGGGTTCAATCCCGGGGTCAGGAAGATCCTCTGGAGAAGAAAATGGAAACCCATTCCAGTGTCCTTGCCTGAGAAAGTCCATGGACAGAGAAGCCTGGCAGAGTCCAGTCCATGGGGTTGCAAAAGAGTCAGATATGACTTAGCAACTAAACAACAAAATAACAACAAAACATCATAAACTTATGACAACAAATGATTTTATTTTCAAAGACAGATATGTTAAAAATATTTTACTTTAAAAATGGCACATATTTAGCATAATAATGGAGAGTACATCATGAGAAATGCTGGGCTGGAGGAAGCACAAGCTGGAATCACGATTGCCAGGAGAAATATCAATAACCTCAGATATGCAGATGACACCACCCTCATGGCAGAAAGTGAAGAAGAACTAAAGAGCCTCGTGATGAAAGTGAAAGAGGAAAGTGAAAAAGCTGGCTTAAAGCTCAACGTTCAGAAAACTAAGATCATGACATCCGGTCCCATCACTTCATGGCAAATAAGATGGGGAAACAGTGGAACCAGTGGCAGACTTTATTTTTCTGGGCTCCAAAATCACTGCAGATGGTGATTGCAGCCATGAAATTAAAAGATGCTTACTCCTTGGAAGGAAAGTTATGACCAACTGAGACAGCATATTAAAAAGCAGAGACATTACTTTGTCAACAAAGGTCCGTCTAGTCAAGGCTATGGTTTTTCCAGTGGTCATGTATGGATGTGAGAGTTGGACTATAAAGAGAGCTGAGTGCCGAAGAATTGATGCTTTTGAACTGTGGTGTTGGAGAAGACTCTTGAGAGTCCCTTGGACTGCAAGGAGACCCAACCAGTCCATCCTAAAGGAGATCAGTCCTGGGTGTACATTAGAAGGACTGATGTTGAAGCTGAAACGCCAATACTTGTGGCCACCTGATGGGAAGAGCTGACTCACTGGAAAAGACCCTGATGCTGGGAAAGATTGAGGGCAGGAGAAGAAGGGGACGACAGAGGATGAGATGGTTGGATGGCATCACCGACTCAATGGACATGGGTTTGGGTGGACTCTGGGAGTTGATGGACAGGGAGGCCCAGCATGCTGCAGTTCATGGAGTCGCAGAGTCGGATATGACTGAGAGACTGAGCTGAACTCAATAATTATTTACTGAGCTACTTAGTGCTTGCTTGCAAAGTGCAAGATTCTGAGAATACTACAATGAATATGATCACTTCCAGTTTTTTAAGGTGCTCAGAATGTTGCAGTAGAAAGAAGGGGACAAAAGAACAGGATTCAGCATAATGTGTGCCGAAATGAACAGCAACGTAGGATATGCTGTGACAGATCAGAGAAGACAGAAACCACCTATGCCTGGAAGTCACAAGGGCTCCTCAGAAGGGATATTTATGATATCCCTCAGGTCAGCCAAAAGAACGTATTTAGGTATTTCTCCTTTATTTGGGAACTTCTAAAAACACAGCTATTTAAAAATGGTTTTTAAAGATACTGATTGAATCACAGTGTCACAGAACAATTTCTATATTTCAAGGGACTTTGTGTCATATAAATCTCAGGCTTACAATAGGTAGGAGAAGAAAGATTGAATGAGTCTTCCTACCTCCAAACAGAACTCCAAATTTATCATTTATAAGTAGGCAAAGCAGATTTTAATCTAATATCGTGTGGTCAAAACATCTACAATAAATGTGACTGGAATATAATATTAGAATTGGAAAAAACAGTGTATAGATACATGCAGGCAAAAAACCAGAGTGTCTCTTTGCCAAACAAATCCAGCAGACATAAAGAGACAAATGCCCAGGAAAGAACTTGTTGAATCATCAGTCTTAAAACTCCATCAGATCAACATGACAAAGAACAAGACTTTATTTAAATTAAAGAAAGAAAGAAAAGACCACACCACAAAAACGTGAAAGCCAGATTCACCTATCTGAACCCAACAGTTTATAAGACCAGAAAAGTCTCCAGAAAATGACATACAACAGAGTAAGTCTGACTTATTTCTTGTTAGTACACTATCAGTTTTTTAAAAATTAAAGTCATAGAAAATCTCTACATACAAGGTCCAATTTATAAATCAATGATACAGCAAGTGTGTAGCTACCACAACTGTTTCCCTTTTGGCTTACCTAACAAATACGCTAAATAAAGAAGTAATTTTTATTTATTTCTTAATTAGGTAAACCAAAGCAAAGTTATCTGACAAAAACACTTAGCTTTCAGCTCAAGTTAGAGGGTAACTGACACCAAATAACTACCTGAAATGATCAGGAAAACTCTGGGATTCTCACAGGAATAGTGTTTGTAAAAAACCGAAACCAACAGTTAATTATTTCATCAACCTACTGGTAGACAGAGTCAATATATAATTCAAGTCTTAAAATAGGAAAGGTCAAATTCACATTTCAGGTGGAGAAACATGAAAAAACAGAGTGACTGGTGAGAACTTGCCCAAGGTCAGAGAGGAAATGACAGATTAGAAGCACCCTCGACTTCTTAACTCCAAGGAGACCTGTTCTCTTCTGGACAGTAATGATGTGTATATGGTTCCTTCCGTATACTTTAGAAAAAGAAGTCAGATCATTTCATTTCTGCGTTAAATAGAAGTTGCCCTTTAAAGAGCCAAATTCTGTTCTATCTTCTTACAACTATAAAATTCCTTCCAACATAATGCACAAAAGAGAATTTAGGTTTAAAAAATTTGAAAACAGTAATTTAGTTTTAATTAAACTTGTTAAGAATTTAGCATTAATTTCCTCTTATTCATTCAGAATGCAAGGAAAATGTATTCTATTCCTGTTTCCTTTTAAAGAAAGCTACCAGGCAAGATGAGGCCTTATAAAAACATTCCAGTAAATATTTTTTAAAAGCATTATCTATAATCAAATACAAATTTCCCAGACTTCTTCAGAGTCTGAAGAAAAGAAGTGGGCTTTTTAAAGGAAATGCTTTTGGATTGCAAAGATCTAATGATAAATCAGGCATTCCCTTCAACAGAGCAAGATATGTTAAATGAAAGAATGCTGCTAATGAAGACTGGCTACTTTACCCACTTCAGATAATTTATAATATAGTTAAGTGCCACAAAATAACAAGACACTGTGAAATGCTCTTCAGATCTTCACAATTTGTGAGTGCTAGGTGAAACAGTGGCATACACAGTGGCATATATTCTTTATCTTTTTATTGCAAGTTTGCTAAATAAGCAAAACCATTATTTCAGGTTTAACCCATACAGTCTAGATGGCAAATCTATGTATTTCTGATGAAATGTCTAAGCTCTTAACCTAAGTTATCACATCTTGATTTTGCTTCAGGAATCAATCGTTATATTTATGGAAGTATGCAGTCAGGTCTCTTCAGCTCCTGATCTTACCTGCTGAATCTTCCAAGTCAATCAGTTTGGGCATTAAGCTTTCAGGGAGTTTTTCTGGCAAGTCATAGCCATTCTTCCTCGCAACTACCAGATGAAAAGCAGCACAAAACTCATCCAGTGTCAAGGCTCCATCTTTATCAAAGTCTGACAGTTCCCTAGAATAAAAACTCATTATTAATATAATCATATTCTGCTTTGGCTCCTTTTAGGTTTCAAAAAGAAGCAAGAGAAATTCTTTCCCAGAAAATAGCAATTAACAATTTAAAAAATTCCATAGATGGAAGAACATGTAATAAAACAAGTATGTGCATGCTAAGTTGCTTCAGTCATGTCCAACTCTGCGACCCCATGGACTGTAGCCTGCTAGGCTTCTCTGCCCATGGGATTCTCCAGGCAAGAATACTGGATTGTGTTACTATGCCCTTCTCCAAAGGATCTTCCCAACCCAGGGATCGAACCCTGGTCTCTTATGTCTCCTCCACTGGCAGGCAGGTTTTTTACCACTAGCACCACCTGGGAAGCCCAAAACAAATATGAAAGTGAAAGTGAAGGTGAAGTTGCTCAGTCTTGTCCGACTCTTTGCGACCCCATGGACTGTAGCCTATCAGGCTCCTCAGTCCATGGAATTTTCCAGGCAAGAGTACTGGAGTGGGTTGCCATTTCTTTCTCCAGGGGATCTTCCCGACCCAGGGATTGAACCCGGGTATCCCACATTGCAGGAAGACACTTTACCGTCTGAGTCATCAAAACAAATACAGCAAACTGTTAATTGTAGGCAGTGGGCATATGGGTGTTCAAGGCACAATTTTTTACACTTTTCTGTACACTTTAAAATCTCATATAATAAAATGCTGAAAAAACAGTTACAATAAATAAAGTCACCAAAAAATGACCTTTAACCCACATGCATTTCTAGTAAAAGGATTTAGTAAAACCCTGGGTTACTTAATAAGTCACTGAAATTTTTAAAAACTGTTTTTATTGTTATCAAATTTCTACATGCATGCATTTTAAAGCATCCAACAGAATTACAAGTCCTGATACACTGAAACAGCAGCCCCACCCTGGTGACCATTTCCTGGTTGCAGAAGCAATCATTTTCTAATTTATTACCTTAAGTTATATAAATGTTAACAGCATGCATATATTGCCAGTTCTTGATTTTTCAGTTTTAGGCATTATCTACCTTCTTCCTACCATGGTATCCTATGCTTCTAAAGATGGTACTAACAAAGTAATTTAGAGTATAAATAAATACATTGATATAAAGTAGAAATAACATGTATTTATCTGATAATTGCTTTTAAAAAGTAATTTGTGAATGCAATTTGTGTTCTGATGGCTAATTTCAACTATATACCAGCTATCCTGAGTCTCAGTCTAAATTTAAATCGGAGCTAAGCATGTTCTTGAGATCATGCCTTGGTATAGGACTTATTAACCCTGTTAAAAACCAAATGGGATAAACATAACCATGTATGAGCAAACAAGCTTTTATGCCACACATTATTCTTTCAACAAGAAACAGCTGATACAGCTTAAAAACCTTTAGCACACTTTAAAGAACTACTGCAGAGTAATCACTTAGTTCCTTTCTAAAGAGTGAGAGAGAAGCTGGATATTATAAGGCAATACTGAGTTCTTTGAGAACATTCTTGAAAAGGTTACTCTAATAGTTTATTTTTAAGTTCAAAAATCTACCTGCTGTAAACTCCTTTGAAACAACCCACATTACCCAACTAATGATACACCATACTTACCAAATATGAGAAAGTTCAAGAATAGGAAGTTTTGATTTTGTAAAAAACTCTTTAGCTGCAGATCCTGAAATATTAAAACAGTGTTGTTTAGTATTATTCTGGACTTACAGCTCCAGGAATAAAATGTGAGGTAAGAGTCTTAAGACTTCTGTCACTGAGAAAAAGGTAACCTTAACATGTGTACATATCATATTTTTGGTTTCCAGTGACTATAAACTTTTTAGACAATTTGAGAATTAATTTATCCTTTATCATCACTGACCAATAAAACCATGTCTTTGAGATTATGAAACTGAGACCATCCTATCCCATTTATAAGAACTTCTGTTTTTAACAACTCACCTGGAATAAATCCGTTTAGATCAGGCTGAATGGTTTTAAACTGATTTACATAATACTGTCTTTGTTCATCTGTTATTTTCCAAGGATCGTCATAACTACTGGATTGCCTACGAATTTCATTGGCAGTTGTAGCTGAGGCTACAGTTCGTACTGTTGTCTGGTCCTGTAATGAAACATTTTTTCCTCAGTACAGTATCTATCTATACGACTATATGGACCAAGATTGTTAAGTTACTTATCTTTGAAAGTAAAACTTACTTTTTGTGTATGTTTAAAAATATGTCTTAACAAACTCATCTGCAAACCACATATTTGTTATATAGGTTATTAAACATTTTTGCACAAAGATTACATAAATGTGCAGAATGACAGCAATATGTAAGCAACAGAAAGTTATGTAAAAGGTGCTAAGAAAGCCAAGCAAATACATTCCTAGATGCAAAAACCTTTCAAAACTTCACTATGGAATTAGCAAGAAAAATCAGCCAAAACTTTCAATAAAACATTCCAATGAAAAGACTTGAAGAAAAGGCACAAAGCTCTTTTTTTTTTAATAAAAGAGTGAACTTGTATTTATAAAATGTGCAACAGCAAAATATAAAAACAATGACAGCAGCAATACTCTTAATGAAGCAAATAAAAATGCAATACCAATAAAATGTCACACCTGGACAGAAGCAGGATGCATGGTTAAAAGAGTACTGGTTGGTGGAGTATCTGCAAAACTGACCCAATTTTCTTGAGGTGGAGGTGGAGAATGTCCTGACCACACTGCATCCCCAGCAGAAGAACCTAAAAACAGAATGGGTAAACATGCTGACTCACTTTTGGAAGAAAAAATAAAGTTACCAGGTTTTTAATGATAACAAATCACCACACACATGAACAAGTTTTCTTTTAAAAAGCTAACTCTGAGGAAATAATAACAATTTCCAAAATGGAATCTTATCTGTCAATTTAAAATTATACCTCATTTGGCATAATAACCAGTTTATTGCTATAATAAGCAATACAGCAGCAGACTCATTTTTATAACAAAGTATATTTCCTTTCACTAATATAATATATATACTTGGGAATATATCTTCAATATAATATATCTCATACATTTTACCCTTCAGAGAGAATCTGATACCTATAAACTTTTGTCTAAGCATCACAGATATAAGTAAATGCAATTACCCACTCAATTTACTTAGAAACTTTCACAGTTGGCTTTTGCTTCTATTTAAGGCACTTCATTGGAGAAAGCAATGGCACCCCACTCCAGTACTCTTGCCTGGAAAATTCAATGGACGGAGGAGCCTGGAAGGCTGCAGTCCATGGGGTCGTGAAGAGTCGGGACACGACTGAGCAACTTCCCTTTCACTTTTCACTTTCATGCACTGGAGAAGGAAATGGCAACCCACTCCAATGTTCTTGCCTGGAGAATCCCAGGGACGGGGGAGCCTAGGGGGCTTCCATCTATGGGGTCGCACAGAGTCAGACACGACTGGAGCGACTTAGCAGCAGCAGCAGCAAGGCACTTAATGAGTCTGAGTAAACTCTGGGAGTTGGTGATGGACAGGGAGGCCTGGCGTGCTGCAGTCCATGGGGTTGCAAAGAGTTGGACACGACTGAGCGACTGAACTAAACTGAACTTATAAATTAAAAGCTGACTTAGAGGCAACTCTTAAAGGAACACTATCAAGTTTCCTTCAATTTACAACCCTTAATAAATGTTACTTTAAAAAAATTCCTAAGTACCTGATTGTGCTTCACCAAAGGGAGACCAGAATGGTCCAGGTCCTGCAAGAGGCCTCTCACTATTTCCTCCACTGGGATGACGGTTGTGCTTCCTCCATGTGTGTGGAGAAGTTGGTGGAGACTGCTGTGGTGAAACTACTGGGGACACAGGTTCCTAGAAAGAACATCATTATGTGAAAATGTAAATTGTAAGGTAACATTTTCATTACTCAGGCAGTCAATGAATGTCTTAGTGTAAGCATCCCCACAGTCTATCAATCGATAGCATGAACATGTACGTGACTACCTGCGGGTCTGCAGATGCACGCGGCTGGACAGGATCATGGCTTGTGGACCCTTTTTTCACTTGTCCCCTGCCAGGCGGTGGGGGGATTACACCAGAGTAAGACCCCTGATTTTCAGAATCGGAAGAATATGAGGTTGCATGACGAGATTCCTGTTCATTCTTTGAAGCAACAAATCTTGGCAGAGGAAGGTCCTTTACTATTAACCACAAAAATAATTATTACTTCAAAATAAAATAGGATATACACATTAAAAACGGAATTAAGAGATGAATTTGCTATTAGAAAGAATGTTTGCAAAAACTAAGACAGAAACTACAGACACAAAATGTTTATCGCCACAAAATTCAGATCATCTCCCTTAGATTGTTTAGGGAAACTCTAATGTAGAAGGTAGTAGTAACATCAAACTGTCACTCTAAGGGGTTAAGTTGTATGAAATGTTCATTGCATGTCAGGCTTTTTTTTGCACTTTATATTTATCTCATAACCATATAAACTTTACAAAACCCCCATTTTACAGATAAAGAAAATGAGACTCTAATATGCCCAGGTCACTGACAGTAACTGACAGTTAGGATCTGCACCCAGGTCAGTCTGACCCTGAAGCCTAGACTGTTTCTACTCACACTGGTTCCCTAAAGGAAGATGTTAGAGCTCGAAACAAAACAAGAATATGTCAGTAAGTTTGAAACTAGATTAATCTAGACACTTTCATTGCAGAAATTCCTGAAAACATCTTACTGTCCACCTACCAAGGACACAGAACAAGGTGTTAGTTATACTTTAGTCCCGCTTACGACACTCCTACATGCAAATATTCTACATTCACTTTTAAAGAGAGAAAAGGATACAAGACTGGGAATGTCTGCACATTTTTAGACTAGAACAATACAGCAGCAGCAGCATCTTCAGAAGAAAGTGTACTTCCCTGCACCATGATTACCTGCATTTCTCTTTAGAATCTCCACATTAAGGAGGGAAAATAGTAATGTTTATGCAGCATTTATGTAAAGAAAATAAAAATTACCTAAAAAGAATGTAAACTCTCAATTCTAGAACAATGAAACGAGAGCTCCACACTGAAAACTTCTGGATGACTAATAAACAGAGGTGGTACTTAAAACTATTTTATAAAAATTCTAACATTACAGAAAACCTCAAGTTTTCTCTTCCCACCCCATTCCCTATGAAAACCAAAGAACTCTGCATTTAAGAATGAAGAAGAAATTCTTAAGGATTTAATTCTTAAGAAATTAAGAATTTTCAACTACTTAGACATCAATGAGCCTTCAAATATTAGAAAACCAAATTATCCTAGGTGACACTTGTAGGGTGGGCAGATGTTTGTATTTGGGTTTTAGTCTGCCAATATTTTAATGCTATCTCTACCAATCAAAATTTTGGTTAACTAATACTTTCTAAATTTCAAATGGAACTTTCATAGCTTTTCCAAACAGGAAAAGACTAAGTATAAATTTTATACTTAGTAGCAAACATAAGGAAAGCATATATGAAGATAGTCACTACAACTCATCAGCTACCTTGATTAAATTATTCATCTAAATTCTGAGCAATTTTTAGTAAATTAAAGTTGCCATTTAAGTTTTTATATTACCATAAAATATGTGTGAAGTACATAAATGCCATAACGAGTTAAGGTAGACATATTTTTCTAATAGTAACAAGTGAAAAATGCATGGCAAGAATATAATCATGATACTTTAACTCAAGGTCACAAATGCCACTGAAACATCAGAAAGCCTCCACAGTTCTACTGACTTTATTTCATTTTTGATTAGAAGTTCATTTTCATTTCAGTTACTAATATATTCCATAGTTACCTGTATTTATACTTTCCACTCTTAAAGGGAAGCCAGACTGGGCAACAGCTACAAGTTTCAAAGCAATATAGAACTGACTTCTTCCAAAATAACCAAGTCTTGTTGCACCACAAAGCTCCATAATCTATAAAAGTAAACAATGTTAATATCAAGAATTATGACAATAATTCTCCACATAAGCAACTATCCAACCTCTGTTTGTAACTTTTCCAAAATACATAGCTGACATATGGCGTATTACTCTCAACTGACAACCAACTCTTCAAGTTTTAGTTTTAAATGTTTGAAAATAAAAAGGCACTGACCTTACAATAGGTTATCATTCTCCTACTTAGTAAAATTCATGTGATAAACAATCATATTTTATTAGAATAACTTTTTTCTTAAGAATCATATCTTTTAGAAACAAATGTATCATCTGTGCATACAGTGTAAACACTGTGCATACAATAGGTCCAAAAGTTTCTGCAACCAATAGATTATTACCCAGCCATTTAAGGTACGCCATAAAGTGACTTACTAAGTGGGAAAGGGCATGATCCATAATTCTGACCACGTAAGCACAAACTTTAAACAACCAGATATATAAAGATTCTATCAGCAAGTTTGCTAGGTGAGATTGCGAGTATGGGTTAATTCTCTTTACTTTCCAGATTATATTTAATGTGGTTATGCTACTTTTCTTTAAAACAACAATTTTTGTTTGCCTTTTTTTAAAAAAAGCATGAAGCCTTTTAAGGATTGTTCTAGTCATTCAATAAGTATTCCTCGACTGGCTACTCCAAGCATCAAACTGCGCTCAGTCACTCAGTCGTGTGGGACCCTTTGGACTGTAGCCCACCGGGCTCCTCTGTCCATGGGATTTTTCAGGCAACAATGCTGGAGTGGGCTGCCATTTCCTTCTCCAGGGGAATCTTCCCACCCAGGGATCAAACCCATGTTTCCTGCACTGGAAGGCAGAATCTTTACTGCTGAGCCATTGGGGAAAAGAGACTTTTAGGTTACAAAATTAAATTATAATCCCAAAAGGTGTATTAATATCTACTATACAGACATCACAAAGTAACCTTAAAACAAGCACTAAGTAACCATGTCTCAGCTTCTCAAAAATCCAAATTCTTGTACAAAGAGAGCATATTTAGTCTATTTTCTTTTTCCCAACACATTCAAAGGAAGATTAAGGTACCTGAGATGTTGTGTTACTAAGTCAAAAGTAAAGTATTTAGTAGAATTGCAAAAGTACCACCTATCGATGGTTCAGCAATATATCACAATAACAATAACCATTTGTTGCACAAGGAAAGACGACAGTCGTTTTTGCTATGAATGAGCATCATGGGAGGAAGTTCCTGTTCCTGCCACCAAGGGGCATCCCTTCTGTGTAAGTTTAAAAGAGCAAGGAGGATAGAGAGGCAGGTTTACATGAGGAGAACCGTGGGGAAAAGGTGGGCGAGAGCTAAGAATGGAGGAGCACATGGGGCATGAAGGCACTGCGTGATGGTTACTGCGCCCACCTGGAGCCCCCTCTGGGATCATTATACATCTGAGATACTTCTACTTATAACCCTAAGCACCTAAAATACACCAGGTAAGAGCTAGACAAAGGGAAGACCTAAAAGGAGGTCACATGTACTTTGTTCATCCCTATTACATCTGTTTCAGGTGCCTGTGGGATTTTCAGTGGGAGATACCCCGGGAATAGAACAAAGAGCTGGAGTTCAGAAGGGAGTACATTGAGAGATGCTGTGTACCTAGGAAGCAGACAGGAGGCCATGACTAAAGTTGGGGGACCAGTAAACGAGACTGCCAGGGTCATGACTGAAGTTGGGGGACCAGTAAACGAGACTGCCAGCAAGCCCAGAGTGACAAAAGGAAACCGAGCTTATCAAAGAGAAAGTGGGAAAAAACACCAGAAGAAAGCGGGAAACCAAAGGTGGGACAAGGCTTTGGAAGGCGTGAGCAAGCTTTAAAGGAAACAATCACTGTACATACAGATTTACATACAAGGTATTATAAGAAGCAACCTAAACTCACAAGAACAGATAAAATTAATTATGGAATAGCCTTATGAGAAAAATATGTAGCCTTTAAAATTCACTTATAGGATTAATGTTATGAAAGCAAAAAGCAGTATACACATAAGCATAACCCAATTCTCTTATAACATATACATATAAATGGTAGTGAATATGCCATCATTTATTTTCGGGTGCTGAGATTAGGGATATTTCTATATTTATTTACATGAGGCTGTATTTACTCCAAAAATATATAATATTATTTAATAAGAAAATTGATAAATAATTTCTAAAAAGGAGAAGCAGTAGAACCCCCAAAAAGGAGAGGAAATATACTCAAATGTTTTGCAATTATGTTTTGTTACTTGAGCAGTTATAGGGATGAGGTAGGATAAAATCCAGTTTGTGGGTTAAGGAATAAACAGGAGGAATTTAAGTAGAAAGACAAGTACAAAACAGGTTAAAATATTTGGCTTTAAAGAAAGTAAATTCAGAAGGGTACTTCTGCTTAAGTCTCAGAGCTAGTTCAGCAGAAGAGGCACTAGAAATCAGGTCTTTTGATTCCAAACCCAAAGTTCTTCCCAAGATAGAAGGGTGGAAGTGGGAAGTGGGATGGGGTAGAAGAGCAAGGAGAAATACTATCCTTCTACTGTAGCAGACATAACAAAATTTTAAAAGTCTGTATGCCAAGCTGCCGCCTCAGGAAAGATGTTTTGAAAAGAGTAGATAAAAAAAGTCAGAGGCAACAAATGCAATTATTCCTCTACAGCTCCTCCCGGTTGCATCCCTTTCGAGACTCGTTCTGTGGCCCAAGTCAGGCGTGTGTGTCATTGTGTGAGCACTGGAGAGGAAGAAACAAGTTATGACACATAAATTTACAAAAATAATACCTGACAAAACAGTTTAAGGAAGTCTATTAAGATTAAATTACCAAGAAGTCTAAATTACTAGCACAATCTGTGAATGAGGCAAAATCTGTCTCTAAAGAAATATTTGGAATAAATTCCTAGAAGGAGACCTGCTGGACCAAACTATCAGTATATTTTAAAATGTTTTACCTATCGCCAACTGCCTTTCCAAAAGGTCACTGAAACTTGTTCTCTCACTGTCAGTGTACGAACGTTTCTCATCTCTAGTCACTTCACCTTTTTCTCCAGCAACTGGAAAGGCCACTCACACACTTCCATGTATTTATTTTTGACCCTCTGTGTTACACAGTTCTACATAACTATTCCTGGATCTGTAACATTCTTTGTCATCTCTACTTTATTTTTTTAAAACAATTTTAAACTGGGATATAGCTGCTTAACCTTCTTTTAAAATTACTTTAGCTTTATAATATTTAAATACCTGGAGTAAGGTTAGCCCAGCCTTCGCTTTTTGTTCTTGTTTAGAATTTTCTTTGCTATTCTCATATTACTTAATCTTTCAAATAATCTTTAAAATACTTATCAAAATAAATTGAGATTTTAACTGGGACAGCAATTTTCATGTACAGTCTGGTTTATAACTTTAACAAGACCACTTCACTGTTTTATCATTAAGGGCAATGTTGGCTAATACTGTGCAATACCTTTGTTAAGAGACTATTTAGATAGTTCTACTATTCTAATAGTTTTGTTTGGGGCTTTATATTTTAAAAAACCACAGAGAGATGTTACTTTTATTATGTGCATTTTGGGGCAGAAAATGAGAAGATAGTTAATTTATCTCTTTGGCCTTATTAATAGTTCTATTAATAGAGTTCCTAACATCAAACCACCCTTTGATCCCTAAAATGAATTCCATTTAATTATGGTGCATTACATTTTCAAATAATATTTATATAAAATTTTAATCACAATCTTAAGATGACTAAGTGTTAAAAAAATGTTATATCTGAAAGGTATGGAATTGATATGAGTCGGCTTTGTAAGCACAACTAGCAAGCTTTACTTTTTTCCTGCTCTAAAATACTTTAAATAGATTAGGAATTACATAATCCTTAAAGATTTAGAAGACAATTCACCAATGACACAGGGTGGGCATCTGATGCACAACTCATTTTCTTCCATGTTATTGGGAATAAACTAGGTTTTCTATCTCTAAAATATTTGATAATTTCCAAGAAAACCATTTATCACCTCCAAATTTAGAAATTTATTAATAGTTCAGCATTATTCAAAGGAGTCTCACTCTTTCAATTGCCTCTTTATGGTAATTTTCCCTTATTCTAAATCATGTATATTTGTGCAGAAGCTCACTCAGCTATCTGATCACGAAAACTACTTAAAGTCCCTAGGATACAGAGTCCCATACCCTTTCCATTAGACTCTAACTCATTTAGGAAACCCAGGGCCAGTGAGTGACTGCTGGTCTACTACTGACAGCTACTGAGAACAATTAACCTTTGTTCTATTAACATTACAAAATTTATATGCTCATGATAAGATATACTTAGGATACAGAATTAAAAGTTCTTATAATTCTCATCAAAAGTAACAATTTTTTTTATGTTCTTCCAATTTCCTCTACACATATACAAACATATGAGCACACATACTTCACATACACTTTTCACACATGTAGGATCATACTATATATGATTTTTTCCACATACTACTATTCAAAGATCTTTTTTTTTTTCCATTTATTTTTATTAGTTGGAGGCTAATTACTTCACAACATTTCAGTGGGTTTTGTCATACACTGACATGAATCAGCCATGGATCAAAGAACTTTTTATATCAGCACATATAGCTCTCTTTCATTTTTTTTTAACACAGTATTCCATTGCATGACTATTCCTACTGCAAATTAACCAGCCCCTTACTGATGAACATTCACATTTTTCCAGCTTTATATTACAAATAATGTCATAAACATTCATGCGTATGTATCTATCTTTGTACACTTGTACAATTGTAGAACAAATCTGCAGAAACAGAATATGCTTTAAAATGTAACATAGTCAAGTACTGTTAACTCTGAATAACTGTAACATCTTACTGAAGGGCACAGAATCCTGGCTGCCTGGTTTTTCTTTTTTCTAGGAAAAGATAAAGTAGATTGTAGTTTGCTTTAATACCTACAGAGATTACTGTTGATAGGCAATCATTCTATATCA